CCATCAAGCATGTCACAGGGAAATTGAAAAGGCTCCTCATTTTCCTGGTCAATTTCCTGGTAGCGGTCTCTTACACTTAGCAAATCATCTTGTTGGAAGGGCTTGTTACGACAGCAGGAAAGATCCGCAACTGGAGAGCAAAGATGGGCTGAAGAGCAGATTTCAAGTGCCTTTTTCACTGGCTTCAAAAGCTGACGACGATTAAAATTTACAATGTGTATGTGTTCAGGAGATTTTACCCTGGAAATTGCCACATAAATTAGGCCCGGAACGTACTCTCTAGAGCAGTAGACAACTGCTGATGACAGAGTTAATCCCTGTAACTTGTGGCACGTGACAGCATAAGCAAGGACAATCGGAAACTGTGATACACTTCCAACTGTTTCGTTGATTAATATTAACTTCGTTTATTGACATTTGATTATTTAATAAGTCGCGTGATTGATAGCCGATGGAGTACCCGCTAAGTAAGTTGATCTTTAAGTTAGAATGACACGTTTTCAAAACCACGAAATCAGAGACAAAGGTCATAANGCAGATTTCAAGTGCCTTTTTCACTGGCTTCAAAAGCTGACGACGATTAAAATTTACAATGTGTATGTGTTCAGGAGATTTTACCCTGGAAATTGCCACATAAATTAGGCCCGGAACGTATTCTCTAGAGCAGTAGACAACTGCAGATGACAGAGTTAATCCCTGTGACTTGTGGCACGTGACAGCATAAGCAAGGACAATCGGAAACTGTGATACACTTCCAACTCTTTGACCATTTCTGTCCCGCTTGATCCACGTTTCCCGCCCTATTTCAACTATTCCCACCTCTTCAAACTTCACCAACAGCTTGCCATTACCGCTAACACCGGTGAATGTGCCAAGGGTACCGTTCCTTAAATCATCTGACTTGTTCCAAACTAGCATCACCTTGCAGCCAGGTTTAAGTTGCAAAGTAGATGCTCCGGGCCAGCTCATACTCGTCGATTTGTCATTTTCATAATCGGCATGAAAGTTAAACAACTCTCCAGGGATCGCATCGAGCTGCCGCCTGTTTGCAAGCTGAACTGGAACTTTTCTGAAGTAAATTTGGGTGGCAGTACGCTGAAGTTCCCAGGGTAATTGCCTTTGCAACGAGGTTAGATACTGTTCGGTGGCGATGGAACATGTCCCCTCTCTTATCTCCGCCAGAGCCGCCAAAAATTCTGGGTTTTGCTGCCGAATGACTGTTGTTAACCCGAACCGATGTGAAATCGCAAAGTCGAACAGGGGAGAATAAAACATGAAGCGGCCTTCGTCAAATAAATTCGGCACAGGTTGCAGCTGCAAGAATTCTCCTATCAGAACCATTTGTTTTCCTGCAAATGGAAGATTTTTACAATCATCGTTTGCCAGTTCG